CCGCCCCTTTCGGCTGGCTCCCCCCCCCCCGCCGCTCACCCTTCCACCGTGCCCAAATTCCCGCAGGCGGCCGCGACAGCCAGCTGGCCAAGTGCCCAGACGTTTCGGGGCGGCTGTGCACCCTGCTGACGCACATGTACCGCTCGCTGATCGAGCAGGGGCAGGAGCGAGCGGCGGTGGTCGGCGGGATGGAGGTGGAGTGCTCACGCCAGCACCTCCTGTCAGGCGGCCAGGGCGCCTTCACATTCACATTCTCTCCACGGGCGGAATTTTCAGAGGTGTGGCCGCTGCACACCCCGCCGCCGCCAGACAGCATCATGTTCAGGGTGATGGTGGTGCACCGCAGCCGGTGCGTCACCGAAGTCGTGGCCCACGTGCCCACCCTGGCGGCCCCGGGGCTGCCGGCCTCGGCCTACGGCGACCAGCCAGCACCCGACGAGGACCGCTCGCTGCCAGTGACGGGCACGAGGCTGAGGTGCAACCAGTGCGGCCAGCCTCCGGCCGCGGGCACCGCCCTGCAGGCGTGCGCGGCGTGCCGCTCAGCATGGTATTGCTCCCGCGAGTGCCAGCGCGCGGCGTGGCGCCGCCACCGGCCCGACTGCCACCGCTGAGCCTGGACGTCGCGCAGGCAAGCGTGGCAGCCAGGGTGCCGCCAGGCCGACGCCGCAATGTGCCAGCTGGTTGCCCGGCTGTTCGCCGACAAGTAGTTCTGTGGCCGCTCGCCATTGCTGTACCTTTTGTGATGTATATCAAGGTCTACAAGCCATGCAAGGCGGTCAGGGCTGGCCTGTGGACTGTTTGGTGGTCGATGCTGGTGGTCTGCACGGCTGCCGCGGTCGGGGCATTAAGGTCAATGATTGTGGGCTGGGAAGATGTCAAATTGTTCAGTTGACACCATGCCCATCGCTGTGGGCCGCATGTAACACAATAAAATGGCTTCAACGGACTCGGTGCCACCTGCCGGCGCTCGCCTGCCTCGCATGATGTGGCAGCCAGACGGCAAATGAACTTTGTGGGTCTAAAATTGCATTCCATACAGGATCCAACACCAGATCGATAGTAGCAAATTCGTGGCAGCTGGGGTTGTGGCACTCACGCATGTTTGTCACATAGCAGGGTGCAGCAGGTGTGGCGGCCCACTGCAGCAGCAAGTGGCGGCCTGATCAAGACTGCCGGCGTGGTGTCCCGACCACCGTCCCCTACCGTGCGCAGCAGCAGCAGCAGAGAACACAATAAAATGGCTTCAATGGACTCGGTGCCACCTGCCGGCGCTCGCCCGCCTGGCCTGATGTGGCAGTGACACAATTGTTGAACTTCGTGGTCTTAAAGTGCATTCCATACAGGATCGAACACCAGCTCGATCGTAGCGGGTTCGTGGCAGCTGGAGTGGTGGCACTCGCCCATGTTTGCCACATCACCGGTTGCAGCGAGGCCCACTGCAGCAGCATGTGGCGTCCTGATCAAGACTGCCGGCGTGGGCAAGCCGATGGCTGTCCCACTGGTGTGGGGCAGGAAAAGGACATGTGTGGCGCCTGCCCGGGCTTCTCCTGCGCCCAATGGCAGCTTGGAATCCGCCGAAATGCTCAGCGAAGCAGAAAAGTTCGTTCTGGAGATGTCCGCTGAGGAGGTGGCGACGCCAGCGGCAGCGGCAGGAGCGGTGGCCGCACCAGCGGCGCTGGAAGCTCAGCTTACCTCCCTGCGCAGCCAGGTTGTGGCCAGCTGCCTGTCTTGGCACCTAGATTGCTGCTGGGCAATGCGCAGAACCAGCATGTGACGATGGGCGCATGATATGGCACATGACGTCCAACCTAGCCGCGTGCCTGGCATGCTGCTGCTGCCATGCAGGCTCAGGAGCTGGTCAGCAAGATAGACGCTCTGTACAGTGGCGTGTTTGTTGGCGTGGAGCTGCCGCAGCCCGAGGGCGAGGAGGGAGCTAGTGGGGAGGTGCTGAGGCAGCAGCTGGCATTGGCGCTGCCAGACCCGAGTGACCTGAATGAGGCCCGCTTTGGCGAGCTGGGGCGCGCCGCTCCCAAGGTGCACAGTCGCCAGGCAGCATGCCTGCTGCACTGCCTACCGGCCAGGTCCACCTGCTCCGCCTCACCCCCTCACCCCCTCCCCGGCTTGCATCACGGACCCCTTGGCACCCTGCGCCGTCCCTGTCTCCCCCTCCCCGCAGCTGGTGGCGGCGTTGATCCAGGCCAAGGAGCGAGGCGACCCGCAGGGCTGGCTGGCCTTCCAGTCCGGGGTCAGCGAGCTAAAGCTGCAGCGCAGCCGGCTGGAGCGGGAGGCGGAGGACGTGGCGGCGGTGCTGGAGGCGGCGCTGCAGCGGGAGCGGCAGGCTGGCGAGTATGATGAGTATGAGGAGGCGGTGGGCAAGTGGGACGGCGCGCAGGCAGGCCGCAGGTGTGCAGTGCTGCTGCCGGCTGTGCTCGGCAGCTAGCCCCCGTCCCTTGCCACTGTGTGCTGCACTCGCTGCGGTGCCCACCCCTGCCGCGTGCATGGCATCAGCAGATTGAAGCTGCTCCCCCAGACGCCACTTCACCCGCCCACCCTCTGCCACCTGCCTGCCTGCCTGCCCGCCCATGCCCAGTGACGGTTCGTCTGCCAGCTTGGGCGCCCAGGCGCGGAGCATGAAGGTTGTGCTGATCACCGGGTTTGAGAGCTTCAACTTGGACCTGTACAAGCAGGCGGCGGTGGCGCTGGGGCGCGCCTGCCCCGCCATCTCCCTCCGCGTCTTCAGCGACCGAGACCTGGGTGAGCGCTGGCTGGCCATGAGTGGCTGGGCGCAGGCAGCGCGTGCAGAGACGGGCGACGGCAGGCGCGTGCACACAACTGTGGTTGTTTCAATGGTGGGGATGCGGCCCTGCGGCAGGGGCGAAGGCGTCTGGCTCCACCAGTGCATGGTGCCCATACAGGGGTGGGCCCTGCTGGGGCCAGGGCGGAAGCTGATGCCACCTGCCCCACCCCTGCTCGCTGCCGCAGGCCCCCGCCGTGCCGAGGTGGAGGCTGCGCTGCAGGGCGCCGACGTCTTCTTCTCCAGCCTGCTGTTCGACTTTGACCAGGCAAGAAGATGGGGGGTGCGGGAGGAGCGGTGGCGTGTGTGATGTGGGTGGTGTGGGGTGCGGAGGCGCGGTGTCGTGTGTGGTGTGGTGGGGCGTGTGCTGAGGTTGCCAGGGTGCATGGTTGCCAGCAGGGCCGCCAGCTGCTAGCCTTGCGCCGCCGCCGCCCGCAGGTGGAGTGGCTTCGCGCCCGCATCGGCCGCATCCCGGTGCGCCTGATTTTCGAGTCCTCGCTGGAGCTCATGGAGGCCACCCAGGTACTGCCAGATTGTACTGCCCAGCTGCTGCTCCCTAAAGAAAGAAGAGCACCTGCCAGAGCGCATGCTAGGCACGGGCGTGCGTGCATCATGTGCTGACCGTGGACCAACGTGCGCTTCCACCAGGTGGGCGGTTTCAAGATGGCGGCGGGCGGCAAGTCCAAGGGCCCGCCCCCGGCGGTGAAGAAGGTGCTGAGCCTGTTTGGGAGCGGGCGGGAGGAGGACAAGATGGTGGGATACCTGTCCTTCCTCAAGATCGGCCCCAAGCTGCTCAAGTTCCTGCCGGGTGGGTTGCACGCAGCCAGCCGTGTGGAGGGCGGCACCGGCGGCAGCATCTGCGACAGCGGGCACCCTCCGTTCAAAACAACATCGCGCGCGGGCTGTGCTGCCCGCCCCGTGCCCCACCTCTGAACACCTCCTCTGCCCCCCCGCCTGCCTGTCCCCGCCGCGTGCAGGTCAAAAGGTGCGCGACCTGCGCACCTGGCTGACCGCCTACTCGTATTGGAACCAGGGGGGCCTGGCCAACGTGGTCTCCATGTTCCTCTACCTAGCCAAGGAGTGCTTTGGCCTGGAGGCGGGGGGCGCCGCGGTGGGTGGGTGGGGCACGGGTGGCAGCCAGTGCTGCTGCATGGTGTGTTGTTGTGTGTTGGGGATGTGCACGGGTGTTGGTGTGCTGGAGGAGGGCGGGTGGCCCCTGGGCTGCCGCCCCCGGGCCTCGCCTACCCCTTCGCTCATCCACTTTGGAACCACCGCTCGCCTGGCCGGCCTGCAGCCGCAGGAGGTGGTGGAGACGCCTGCCACCGGCTGCCTGCACCCCGCCCACCCAGGCTACTTTGCCGGCCCTGCCAAGTACATGAGGTGGTATGAGCGGGAGGGGCCGGTGCGGGATCCCTCAGCTCCCACAGGTGCGCGCTGCCTCCTTGCTGGGCGGGCTGCAATCAGGTGCACTGCGCTGCGCATCTGTGTGAGTCAAGCAGGGGAGGGTAGGCAGGGGGGTCTGCCAGCCGCCACTCGCTGCCCACATGCGTCACATCCTGCGCCTGCCCGCCTGCATCTGCTGTGCGCGTGCCCGCCTGTTCAGCTGCCCCTCCCGCCACCCTGCCTGCCCGCCCTGTACCGCAGTGGGTATCCTGCTGTACCGCAAGCACGTCATCACCGAGCAGCCCTACATCGCACAGCTGGTGGAGTGCCTGGAGCAGTATGGGCTGCGCCCTCTGCCCATCTTCATCAACGGCGTGGAGGCACACACGGTGGTGAGCAGGGCCTGCGAGGCAAAAGGACAGGAGAGGGGGCACAGCATGCAGCTGGAACCGGCAGCGCAGTAGCCGGCGTGCCAACAAACGCAACGGCACGACAACGCCCTGCAGTTTTGCTGGCTCCCCTCTGCGTCGCTGCCTGCTGAGCTCCTGCCTCCTGCGTGCCTGCCCGCCTGCCCGCTTCAGGTGCGAGACTCGCTCACCACCACCCACGAGCAGCAGCTGCTGCGTTCGGGGGTCCAGACCAGCCCCACGCTGAGCCGGGAGGCGGTGCTGGTGGATGCCATTGTCAACACAGGTGGGGTGGATGCCGCATCAGTCACGTTTCGATCGCATGCTGTGCGCCTCATGTCCTGTCTCAGCCTTGCGCCCCACACACACACGGACACACACCACACACACACACACACCACACTTCTCGTACACTATGTGCCCCCCGCAGTCGGCTTCCCGCTTGTGGGCGGCCCCGCCGGCACGATGGAGGGCGGCCGCCAGTCTGAGATTGCCAAAGCCATCCTGGGGGCCAAGAACGTGCCGTACGTGGTGGCCGCCCCCCTGCTCATCCAGGTGCGGGCGCTGGGGCGGGGTGGGGCTGCGCCTTGTGTGTCTGTTGGCGGGTGGCTGTGTTGGACCGTGGGAGGGGCGCCGGCCGCCCGAGGCGTGCAGCTTTGCCGGGCTGAGCGCCAGCGCGCCTGCCTGCCTGCCTGCCTGCCTGCCTGCCTGCCTGCCTGCCTGCCTGCCTGCCTGCCTCCTTACCCCGCTGTCCTATGCCGCGCTGCAGGACATGGCGAGCTGGGTGCGTGACGGCATCGGCGGCCTGCAGTCGGTGGTGCTCTACTCGCTGCCTGAGCTGGATGGAGCCATAGACACGGGTGGGTGCTGCGGGGCCTGACGGGGCGGGGGCAGGGGCCGCATGGGAAACCGCCAGGGGGAGGCTGCAAGGAGGAGCTGGGACTCTGCTGCTGGAGGTCTTGCGGGGCCAGCTGGGCGGCCGTGGTTGGCGGCTGCAGCCAGGCTGCTGCCCTCTCCCTCAAGCTCATGCCACCCAGCTCACCGCCCCCGCCCTCGCAACACGCGCCTGCGCAGTGCCTCTGGGGGGGCTGGTGGGCGACAACATCTTCCTGGTGCCGGAGCGCGTCAAGCGCCTGGCCAACCGGCTGCACAAGTGGGTGGCGCTGCGGCGCATGGCGCCACAGGTGGGTGTGCGCGATGCGCCTCGTGCGCGCAGCCTGCGGCCCCGCGCTGCGGATCTGTGCCTGCCTGCCTGCCTGCCTGCCTGCCTGCCTGCCTGTCGGGCCCCTTTCTCTGTCCCGCGCCACGCCTCTCGGAAGTCCAGCCAGCCTTGCGTCCACGCCCAGCGTCCTCTCGTGCTGCGGCCCTGCAGGAGCGCAAGCTGGCCATCCTGGTGTACGGCTTCCCTCCCGGGGTGGGCGCCACCGGCACCGCCGCGCTGCTTAACGTTCCCAAGTCACTGGAGCGGGTGCTGGCGCTGCTGAAGCAGGTGGGCGGCTGGCAGGGGTTTACACAAATGTGTGTGTGTGCGTGCGGGGCGGTGTGTGATGTGTGGTGTGTGCATGGCTGCCGGGGTCACGCATGATCTGCCCAGCTGCGTTGCGCTGTGGTGTGTCGGCACATCGCCCGCGGCTCGCTGGCCTCGCCGCCGCCGCCGCTCCCCGACTCACGGCCGCTGCCGCCGCCGCCGCCTGGCCTGCCAGCAGGAGGGCTATGATTTGGGAGAGGTTGGGGAGGACCTGGAGGGGGCTGGGGAGGCCATAGTGGCGGCGCTGGCTGCCCAGGACGACCAGCGCGCCATCGCCGAGGGTGCGGCGGGCGTGGCGCGGCGCGGGGCGGGCGCCGCGGAGCGCTACGGTGCCCAGGTGGCGGCGGTGGATGTGGAGGCGGCGCGGCTCAAAGAGATGCTCACATACCCGCCGGAGTGGGGGCCCTCTGAGTGGGGTGAGGCAGGGAGGGAGCGGCTGCTGGGTGTACGGTGGTGGCGGGTGTTTTCGGGTGGCGGGTGGTGGGATGGGCGGGGCGGGGCCAGCCCCCGGAACGACCAGCTCTCCCCTTGCCTCCCGCCAGGGCATGTCCTTCCCTCCCTCCAATGCCCCAGGACCTCACCCCAGTCATGTTCTGCTGTTGTTGTCATGCAGGGCCCATCCCTTTCCTCCCCGACAACGACATCCTGGTGTCGCGGCTGGAGAAGCAGTGGGGGGAGCTGGGCAAGTACCAGGGCCTCAGGTGAGTCACCGCTGCGCCACCGACCCACAGGGGAGGAGGCCTGTTGCACGTGCTGCTGTCAAGGTGTGGGTGGGAGCTGACTGCCAGCACAGCAGCAGACTGCCAGCACAGCAGGAGCAGAGCCGGCGCAGCAGCAGGGCCCACTGTTTGTGCCTGCCTGCCTGCCCGCCTGCCTAGGTGGTCCCCCGTCGAGTGCCTCCTCGTCTCCCTGCTGCCTGCAGCACCAGCGCGCGTGGCGCCAGCGTGGTCAGCGGCATCCAGCTGGGCAACGTGTGGATCGGCGTGCAGGCGAGCCGGCCCCTCCGTGCCAGCCGCCCCACCAACCTGCTCCCTTGCCTTCTTGCCCCTCGCCCTGTGCAACCTCCAAGTAGTCCCACCATACACACCCTGATAACCAGAACCACCACTGCCACCCCCCACCCCACCCTTGCAGCCGCTGCTGGGCGTGGAGGGGGACCCCATGCGGCTTCTGTTTGAGCGGGACCTGACCCCCCACCCGCAGTACGCCGCCTTCTACAAGTGGCTGCAGCAGGACTTTGGGGCCTCCGCGGTGCTGCACATGGGCATGCACGGCACGGGTGCGCTGCGTGGGCCGCGGGGGGCAGCAGGCGGGCCCGGCCCGCATGCCATGAACGCTGTGCTGTGCTGTGCTGTGCTGTGCTGTGCTGTGCTGTGCTGTGCTGTGCTGTGCTGTGTCTGTGTGTGTGTGTGTGCACCTCATGCTGCTTCCTGCACTGCCCTCTGCTGTGCCCCCTGCAGTGGAGTGGCTGCCGGGCGTA